TTGAAGAAAACATAGGCAAAACATTCTCTGACATAAATCTTAGCAATGCTCTCCTAGGGCAGTCTACCCAGGCAATAGAAAGAAGACCAAAAATAAACAAATGGGACCTAATTAAACTTAAAATCTTTTGCAAAGGAAATCATAAGCAAAACAAAAAGAAAACCTATGGGATAGGAGAAAATATCTGCAAATGATGTGACTGACAAAGGCTTAATTTCCAGAATATACAAACAGCTCATACAACTTGATAACAAAAAAATAAACAACCCAATCAAAAAATGGGCAGAAGAACTAAACAAGCAATTCTCCAATGAAGATCTACAAATGGCCAATAGGCACATGAAAAAAATGCTCAATATTGCTAAATATCAGAGAAATGCAAATCAAAACTACAATGAGGTTATCACCTCACAGCAATCACAATGGCCATCATTCAAAAGTCCATGAACAATAAATGCTGGAGAGGGTGTGGAAAAAAAATAATCCTCCTACACTGCTGGTCAGAATGTAGTTTGGTGCAGCCATGATGAAAACAGTATGGAGATTCCTCAAAAAACTAAAAACAGACTTACCATATGATCTAGCAATCCCACTTCTGGGTATATACCCAGAGGGAACTCTGATTTGAAAAGATACACGCATCCCAATGTTCACAGCAGCATTATATACAAGAGCCAAAACACAGAAGTAACCTAAATGTCTGGATGACTTTATCCAGATGACTGGATAAAGAAGCTGCGGTATTTTATACAATGGAATACTACCCAGGCATAAAAAATAACACCTTTTGCAGCAACATGGATGGAACTAGGGATCATCATTCAAAGTGAAGTAAGCCAGAAAAGAGAAAGAAAAAGAACATATGATAGCACTCATATGCGGAATCTTTAAAAAAAAAAAGTCACTATGAACTCATCTACAAAACAGAAACAGACTTGCAGACATAGGAAACAATCTTATGGTTACTGGGGAAAGAGGGTGTGAAGGGATAAATTTGGGAGTTTGAGATTTGCAAATGTTAGCCACTATGTATAAAAATAGATTTAAAAAAGTTTTTCTGTATAGCACAGAGAACTATGTTCAATATCTCAATTAATAACCTTTAATGAAAAAGAGTATGAAAAAGAATATATATATGTATATGAATGCCTGGGACATTGTGCTTTATACCAGAAATTGACACACTGTAACAGACTGTACTCCAATTTAAAAGAAAAAAAAAGATGGTATCCAGAGCCAAGGACAAGATACAATAATAAGCTTTGGTTATTTGTCAGGTAATAGAACCATGTAATCTAACATGTTTCTCTTCTTGTTGGGCTGCCAGAAAGTTTCAAAGTCAACATAAATATTAAAGTAAAATTATCTTCTCAGAGGTTCTGGATATGATGATTTATTCTTTTAAATTCCTAGTCTTCTTTCATCTAAATCTTAATTTTTTTCTTCATAAGTATATGTACTACTGAAAAAAAAAAGAAAACATAAACGAGGTAGTGTAGTCACATGACTTGGGGAGTCAGGGAGGCTGGCTCCCACGCTGCCTTGAGTGGTCTTCAATCACAGACACGCTCCTTGGAGTTATCCATGGGTACGTGACTCAGAGAGACTGAAAGCCTCTCAGGGGCATCAGCCACATCTTCATCTCTGAAATGCTGTGAATGGACTAGCTCACACCGCAGGCAGGCAATACAGGTCTACTACCTGCATTGCTCTTTTCTGTAGGGGGGAGGGGTTGAGGCCTTATTAGAATACTCTCAGGCTTAGTTCTAAGATGTTTTGAACAGAAGACAGCACGTGATTAAACACCAATTGGCAACAGAGATAAACGTTAGGTATAAAGGTAAATCTTCAGAGTCTAGATTGGATGACTTAAAGCAGGACTGAGCTGGCTTTGAAAGATGCACAGTATCTGGACCTGCGAAAGCACATTTCACAAAGAAGCCAAAGAACAGGAGCAGTAAGGGGCCATTCCGACTGGAGGGAAAGCGGGAAAAAAAAAGGATTAGTATAAGGGGAAGGTAGCTGGAAAAGCCAGGTAAGGGCACAGCATGGACATCCTTGAGCTCCAACAACTTCATCTTTTAGAGTTTTAGAAAGTTATAAATTTCTGAGAACTCCAAAGAGATGTTTAAGGAAGATCGTACAAATTCAATGCGTAGAATGGATGAGTATTCACTTAGCTCAGGCCTAAGTTAGTAAGAATCTGATAAAAGAGTTTGATATGGGTGCCTAAAAGTCAGAGTCAACCCTGCCTGGTGCGTGATGTCACGTGAAGGATCGGACAATCAGATTTAATCTGGGTTTTGAGATCGAGGAGTCAGGAGAATAGTAACAGGACGAAGAGGAATCAGGGAGACAGCTGGAGGAGGTGATTTTAGAAGGTGATCCCACTGATTGTAGGCAGAGTAAGTTTAAGATGGTAGTGGCTACCCCCTACCTCCAGTCACTCCTTACAGCACAATGTGCATGTAATCTGCTCAAGTTCTTGCTGAGAAAAATTTTTATGAGCACTATTTCCACATAAATGTAACAGAGAAAAAGCTTCAACATAATGCAATCTCTCTATGGTTGCAAAAGTGAATTTAAACAGAGAAAATACTACAAAAATAAAGGACATGCCAAAAACTGTCTACTTTTATAAGGCACTGTGATTTCATATCTGGATGTTTAAAAAAAAACACTATTATATGAAAAAATGCTCATCACTATTTAGCCCTGAGAGAACTGCAAATTAAAACCACAACGAGATACCAGTACACAACTATTAGAACGGCTCAACCTTTATTTAATCAAATAGTAACAAGTAATGACATGGGTGTGGAGCAACTGGAACTCTCATGCATTGTTGGAAAATGGTACAGCCACTCTGGTAAACACTTTGACAGCTTCTTATAAATTAAACTTACATTTTCCCTATGACCCAGCAATCCCATTCCTAGGTACTTTACCCAAGAGAAACAAAAACATATGTCCATACAAATACCCACATGCAAGTATTTACAGCAGCTTCATTCATAATCATCGAGAGCTGGAAACAATTCAAATGTGTATCAACGAGTAACAGGCTAAACGAATGACAGCACACCCACACAATGGAATACTAGCTGCCCAGTGCCAGCAAGGAACAAACTGCCTGTACTAGGATAAAACAGGGACAAATCTCAAAAGCATCATGTTAAATGGAAGAAGCCAGGCACAAAATACAGTGCAGTGTGTGATTCTAGTTTATATGATACTCTGGAAAAGGGAAACCTACAAATATTCTGTATTTTGTTTAAGGTGGCAGCCCTATTTGTCCAATCCTGCAAAAATGTACAATGTATGAATTTGCCTGTATGAAAAGTACTCCTCCATAAACCTGACTTAAAAAAATATTTATAGCATCTTAACATTGGCTCAAAGAAAACTGTTAAAGCTCCACATTGTTAATTTTGATTGTTCTGAAAAATCCTAGACATTTCTTTACTTGCTAGAATACTGTAAATGTCCTGAATACTGAAAAGAAAGAAGTCCTACGCTTTTCCCCTTTTTGGGCCTCAAAGCTTTCCTGGGAACAAGGATGTTAGAGGGTGTGCGGAAGCCATGTGAATGCTCGTTACTGACACCCTAATAAAGTGAGTCTTGTTTGCTGGACAGCTGTTGCTTCATTGTTCTTCTGTCACATGACACAAAAAGAGAGCTGTTATGCTTATGGAATGTGACCTTCTCATTGGATAGCTGTTACATCACGCCTGGAAACAGTACTGGAGAAATCCATTTTCACTGTGCACCACACAGAAATAGTAAAAAACAAAAAGAGAACAACTAAGAAAGACCCAAGAACCTGCATTAAATAAACTGTACTATTACTAAAATCAGGTCACTGATGAGAAGTATTTCTCAGTACTCAGTACAGCAGAGTTTATTGTTTTGAAGAATGTGTTATCTCATTGTATTATCTCCTTAGAACATAACCTCAACAGAGTATTTTTCAGAGTCCAAGTAACTGTTATTCCTCAAAAGACATTTTCAATGGGCACCCCATGATTACCAGTCCTATACAACTATGAGAGTAATTTCTTTATTTTTTGTATTACCAAATGCCTACCAAAATACTTGGCCATTTTACAGCTTGGTCATTTACAAACCACTTTCACTTGAACAAGGGCCTTTACATTCTTCTGATCACGATCCACAGCGAGAAACACACTCCACACTGCAACCTAGCATAGAGATGCACATGCAACGCTGAAGTCGGACAAAGTAAGGCTAATCTCTACCTCGTGAGATGCTCTCTCTGATTTTATACCATGACCCACAAACTTCCAAAACCACTGCACCAGGAGATGAAAAACAGTGTCTCTGCACGTTTATTAGAACAAAGCCTTTTAAAATTCCATTTAATTGTTTTTAAACATGTGAGTGACCTTCCCCAAGGCTGACTGCCAATCCCTGACACCCTTCTCCTTTTCCCTGTGGGTTCCTAGGAGGGGTACGGGTGAGCAGCAAAGATGGGAGTGACCTGTAGAAACCATGCCCCCCGCTGCTCCTGCGACCGTTAGATGTGGCGGAGGGGAGGCTTCTAGGCTGGCAAACATCCTTCCTTTTCCATTTACCCTCGACACACATGTACACGCACGCAAGCACGTGTGCACACACACCCACCCACCCCGAGGTGAAACAAAATTCAACCGGGTACAAGAAGAGTTACAATACAGAGGAAAGTCAAGTTTTCTCTTAACCTCTGAGGACTTGAGTGATGCCTGTCATGCTTAGTGCCCAGTATCACAGACACCCGAACAAGCCTGAAGGACTCAACCGGCATGTCAATTCCACCCATTAAGTATTTCCAACTGTTAATAATTTTGAGTTTTTCAACTGCTGGTCAATATTATATTCTACTATTCCATACTGAAACTAGCGGATATTTATGATACTTTGAGAGACATTTTATATGAAGATTCGGAAACTTACTTTTAAGGACTCCCACAAGGGAAACTGGACCAGTGAGAAAGGAATCTGAAAAGAAAAACAAAGAAAAAAACAAATTAGGGCAGGAATGATCAGTCTGCTTAACATTACTATATGAACCTATAATTCTTATTTAGAGACATTATTTCGTTTTCACTTTATGTACATAATAAAGCTGCCATTAAAAAACAAATTAATCAGTATAGTATGCACAGTTTCTAGAAGAATAATTAAACTGAACTGCCAATAAAATCTACTAACTTTTTGAGCCCAAGGGACATAAAATGGTGCTGTAAAGCCCACTTAAAAGTGAAAGAGAAACATAATATGAAGAGGGTCTGGCTACTGAAATGAGAAACAAAATATTTTCCATCACAAGTAATAAAGACTTTAAAGACTTGACACTGTTCTGTTACAGAGCTAGAGCTGTCCTTGGCAGGCCAAGTGTCAGGGCTGGAAAGAGAGATGGGGACAGGGAGAAAGAATGGGGTGGGCGGGACAGCAGGGAGGAGGGGAGGACAGGGAAGAGGGGAGATGAGGGGAAGGCAGGGGAAGAAGAAAGGGGAGACAGGGAGGGGCAGGAAGGGAGAGGAGTGAGGAGGGGTGGGTGGAGGGGCAAGGCAGGTGGAGGGTAAGAGAGGGGAGTGAAGAGAGAAGAGACAGATTCTCACAGAAGGAAGCTGAGCAACAGGCCCCCGGGGACAGAGTGGGCGTGGGGAGAACAGCTTCTCAACTTGGGACAAGAGAGGGCTGTGAACAGACAGGGGTGGAGGTGGGCCGGAGGGGCCGCTTCTGTCCCCAGCCTGGTCAGGGAGAGGAGTCATCTCCAGGAGTGGAGATAATTACCACGCTTACAGGAAGGCCGCACAGCTGGCTGTGTAACAGTAAGCTAGAATTACCAAGCGTAGCTCACGTGTCCGGCACTGTGCCAATAAGCATTCCGTAAGTTTTATTTCCCTGAATCCCCACAACAACCCTGTAAGACATGTATTACTAACCCCATTTTACATAAGAGGAGGTTCAGAGATGCTGCTTAACTTGCCTAAAGGCACACAGGAAGTAACAAGCCCATACAATCTGACTCCAGAGCCCTATCTGACCGCTACCCTACCTAGAAGACATCTAACTGGATTTATCAACACAGAAATTCACCCACAGTGTCATCTGTTTGCTTCTAACTAAACTCAGATAAAATTCTAAAACAGAATCCCACCTCCCTGTTTCCTAAAATAAAAACACCTGAACTCCAAGGGACCCCGCCCATTAGCAGCAGTAAAAACGCCCACTCACTGCCCGCTGGGCCTGTCAGGGATGGTGCTGCTCAACCTGGCCGGGTCCGGGCTGTTGCTCTGCGTCCATCTCAGCTGTAAATGTAAAGTCACTGTGGACTATGGCCATTTACAATATGCGTATGCGTATGGGTATGGGTGGGTGTGTGTGTGTCACAACATAAATTTGAAGGAATTCATGGGTATTTACCTTCCCACAAGTTAAGGGTATTAAACTATTTCTAAAATGTTTACATTTAATCAGAAATCAAGAGTCTAGCATCATCTTTCTTATTCTGCTGGCACAGAGATGGCCCTGGGCTTGACAGTGGCCACACAAAGAAAATCTGTCTTCCATTCAGACAGGAAATGGCAGTGAGCGGAAAAAAGAAGTGTCAATAAATTAGTTTAAGTTGACAAACTAGAATCTCAGAGAAGTCTGTCAGCTTCATAAATAAACAGCACCCCAGCCCATACATCACAGTTTCATAACAGATATCAAATTTAGTTTAGTTTTTCTGACAACACAACATGAAAGCATCCAACCCCGTCCATTCCGACAGTGAAGTCCTGTGTTTTCAAATAAATTATCAAGAACTCTAAAAACTGACTATAGTTTTCTAAAAGCTTTTCTAAATTTGTGAAAATTGATAGAATGTAATAAAATATCCAAGAGGACTAAAAGTTAGTGGGATAATACATGACTTTAATTTTCTTCTTCGTACTCTCTCCTCCCAAATGTAAATATATCACATTTTAACAAGAATATAAGTATCTCACATTTATAAGAAGAAAAAAGACCTTATAACTTATTGTAACGGTCCATGCTAACATTCTTCACTTCTTGATTAAAATAACCCACAAAACTACATCGTATGTTATTGGCACTTTTTTGGTACTTAATAAATACTACCAGATTTTGAATCCTGCAGATGAATATTATGCCCATTTTCCTCTATTAAAAGTTAGTCATTAAATTGTTCCTTCAATTTAAAGGAGTAATTTTAAAATCACACATTTGAAATGGCCAAAACTATTCCACTGGGTATTTATTTTTAAAGTGAGCCAACGGTAAATCCCAGCTTTATTTTCTAAAATAAGATTAAGTGACAGTCTCAGGTAATTAAATGTGCTGTAAATGCTTGAATAATTAAATGTATTTCTGGCTTCCGGTAGTGAAATATTCCTCATAAGATGAACTCCTGATGTGTGAAAAAGTTTCCAATATTCTTCAAGCCAAAATCGTACTGAATGTGTCTTGTCATTTACAATCTGAAGAAATAATGAAAATGTGTTTCACACATGTTAAAGTGCAATTGCCAGCAAATACGGCTCCACACTAAGACAAATACTTCGCCCCAGCTTCTACAGGACGTGGGCCAGCCAGAGAGAGAGTCCCCTCCCCATGCCTGGTTTGGAGTTTCAAAACAGTGATGTTTCTTCAAAACGTGGAATTTTAAACCCCAAGCAGATGTAAGCTGTTATTCTAAAATGTTTTATAGATGAAGAAAATGAATAGCTGCACTCAGAGGTCTTATATTCCAAAACACAACATACCCATTTTATTGCACCAAAAGTTACAAAATGGCTCACTGTTGTGACCTTTTTAATGCCTCCATTTAAGATGTTTTGTTTGAATAAGGCTGTTAAGACCCAGGGCACTAATAAGTGAACAGCAGTAAACCTAGCTACCATCAAAGAGGCAGATGTCGAGGGGAAAGAATCTGCTAAAATTCAACATGGATTCCATCAGTAATAAACTGAGCAATAATTCTATATAGGAGTACATGTGAGGATTCCACGTGAAGCAGAGAAAAACACAATCTGGGTGGTAAACAGGGCAAGGAAGGGCTGGGCACTACTCATGGAATAAAGAATTTACAAACTAATGTTATGAGCACACTTTACCTACTACCAAGTATTTGGACTAGAATTATCCTTGAAACCAATCAATGCTTATAATCCTGTGATCTTAAAATAAATGCCTGTAACCTTACAGTCCTTTAACAAATAATGTGACTTACAACTGAGGTGATATGAAAATATGATTTCTAAGGCATCATTTAGCTCTAGAATCCTATGTCTCAATGGAAAGATCAAATTAGAACACCAATACATAAAGAAAGAAAGGAAGAAAGGAAGGAAGGGAGGAAGGGAGAAAGGGCGAGAGAGAAAGAGAGGAAGAAAGGAAGAAAAAGAACCCTGAGACCTGACTGTAAGCCACAAATACAAGGAACCCCACAAGGGACCCAAGGGGACACTCCTTTTTGTTGTACGACAGTGTCCAGATTCTGTGCTTGCTTTCAGGTTTCCCATTCTAGTGTTGCAAAGGTAACAAAGCCATTTTACCCCTTAAATACTCTCTGCCTTTTCTCATTCAACCCCAGTGGTTAACCAAGGAGAAACGAATTTGAAGATCCAAAAACATTTTGCCCCAAAGTGACTACATTTCATTAAAAAAAAAAAAAAAGAGAAGATAGAGACCCATTCAAACCTGGTCTGCTGGCATTTAACATACCAGGAAAGAATTGTAACAATACATATTTACTGATTTTTAAATTTAACAACTATAATTCATTTACATGCACTGTACACTGAGCAAAGAATGTATACCTAATAAAGGAAATTAACCTAAAAGTAGAAAAAATTTACACTGACTTACTCCTCAGGTATATAAACCATACTAAAATTGCTAAAGCATCTTTCCAAAGAAAGCACTGAATGGACGCCAAGAGTATCAAAATCTAAAATAGAAAAGGAGATGAGCACAAGCAGTCTGATTCTCAAGTAAGACTGATCTCAGAGGCAGGGGCACCGAGGGTATCAAAACTTACTATGAAGCTACAGTAAGCCAAACAGTGTGGTACTGGTAGAAACACAGATACACAGACAATGGAACAGTACAGACAGCCCAGACACAAACCCTTGCATATATGTTCAAATAATCTTTGACAAGAGTGCCAAGACCATTCAATGGAGAAAGGACAATTTCTTAACCAAGCAGTGTTAGGAAAATGGATATTCACATGAAAAGGAATCAAGCTGAACCTTTGTTACCCCATATACAAAAATTAACTCAAAATGAATCAAAGATCTAAGTGTAAGATCCTAAACCAAAAAACTCTTACAAGAAAACAGGGGAAAACCTTCATGATACTACATTTAACAATAATTACTCAGATATTACACCAACCAACAGGCAACAAAAGCAAAACTAGATAAAAAGCACTACATTAAAATTTAAAGCTTTTCATCAAAGGACAAAATCAACAGATTGAAAACACAACCTATGAAATGGGAGAAAATATTTGCAAATCATTTACCTGATAATGGGTTACTATTCAGAATATATAAAGAACTTCTACCACTCAACAATAATGAAAAAACTATTTTTCAAATGGGCAAAGGACTTAAATGGACATTTCTCAAAAAAAGATAACAGAAATAGCCAAAAAGCATATGAAAAGATGCTCAACATTACTAATCATTAAGGAAATGCAAATTAACATCAAAATGAGGTATCACTCATTAGGAGGGAGGGAGGGAGGAAAGGAAGGAAGGAGGGAGGGAGGGTGGGAGGGATGACGGAAGGAAATAATAAGTATGGTCAAGGATGTGGAGAAATTGGAATCCACATGCTGTATTGCTAAGAATGTAAAATAGTGTACCCACTTGGAAAATAGTATGGCAGCTACTCAAAATATTAAAAAGAGAATTCCCGCTTGATTCAGCAATTCTACTTTTAGGTATATACACTAAAGAACTGAAAGCAAAGTCTCA